GTGTGTGTGTGTGTGTGTGTGGGCTTTATACCCCCTCCCCCGTGTAGTTCTTCTTCTCTCGTATGTTTTTTTGTACTCGCCATGAAGTGGTTTTGCAGCCTGCCAGTAAACCCAGAGAAGAAGAAGAAGAAGAAGACGAAGTGACGTCAGCGTAATCTTGCCTCAGGGAAAGTACTGCGGTGTGAATGCGATTGGCAATAGCCCCCTGGCGGATTCAGTGCCGTGGTACTTTAGTGCCGGCACTAAAGTACGGCAAGTCCTGCGGTGTGAAAGCGGCTAATGGCTACATGACCTAAGTACTTTATGCTATAGAAAAGAAGATAAATATAACTAAATCTAAATTTCTAGAGGAGATGTGTCACATGTGTGATATATTGACCAAAAATAATGCAATTTTTGTATTGTGTGACCGCATTTCGTAATTTGTTTACGTTACAAACACTCACTCTGTGACAGCCAGAAGACATGTTTGTGGCAAATGTGGTCTTCAATTTAGCAAAAAGCTACTTAAGGCACTGCCACTCATCCTTTAAGAACTGAAGCTTCACTCTGGTTCTTCCTTCATGCAAATATAGTCCAGTTTGTGCAGAATCAAGACATTAGATACATTTCTAGCGATGTTTCTACACTAACTGCATTTGTACTGTGAGAGAAAGATACTCCCTCTACTAACGGACATTTACCTGTGATGCGTGACATTTTGTTGGAGAAGTAGCACTGTTCCAGATCCTCAAAATGAGCAGTCAGCCTCTTCCTCCGTGACGCCAGGGTGCTGTTGTACCAGGTCTGTCTCTTGCCCTGGTAAAAACAATTTCAAGTGTTTAAGAGTACAGTCGAGTCAAAGTCATTCTGACATTTATTCTGTTGAAACTCATCCATCAATTGACTGAGCATTTACGAGATGAGCCTACGAATGCATTTTGACCGGTTACATGTGGTAGTTAGTCATCAATAGCCAGAGGAGATTTCTCTTCAAATAATTACGTTTGTTAGATTATATGTAGTGGTTATGGCTAATACAGGGGCAGGATCAGCAAATAAAATGACTAAATCATTGACAGAAGGAACAAAAAAGGCCTGAACAAGTATCAACCTTGTTCGGTCTTTCAGCAGATGGGAAGGATTGTGGGATTCAAAAGAATATAAAAAGACAATCCTGAATTGTCACTTTTCCACATAGACTGTGGTGTGATATGACTTTGTAATTCAAAATATACTTTTTGAGACCGGGTTTTACATCAAGATATACAGTTACGTTGGTGGCTACAACAAAGCTAGCTAACGTCTTGGCTGTTGCTAGTTAAATGCTTACAATACCTTGGTTTGTCAAGAAAAATAACCACAGCAAAGCTTTATCTGATTACAAGCAACATAAATCAGGCAACCGACAGGTTTTGGGATAAAAGAGAGAGTTGTGTTTTTCTTTCATTTACTTCCAAAACAAACAAAGGTATTGGCCATGCGGATGAAATCGCTGCTTAAAGAGGCGGTGGTGCTCATGGGAAATGCAGTCTTCATTCCGGTAAAAACAGAAGCATTTTGTCAAGGGGCCGTCAAAATCAACGCGTAATAAAAAGGTCCTTGTAGTTGCCATAACAGATTCCAAGCGAGTCTAAATCCAACACAAATAATGATGATAACAGACATAAATATCAAACGAGGGTTTCTAATGGATTTAAAAGCCACTATCCAAACAGCATGTGTGTTTCTCTCACTCACCTGGGTTGTTCCACCAAATCCTGGAGGCTGGCTGTAGTCTGGTGCCTCAATAATACTGCTGCAGCTACTCGAGAAACAAACAAAAACATAAACAGGCGTGTAAGGCTCTGTGGGGTTGTACAGGAATTAGATACTTGATTCAATTAGATGTGTTTAACAATAGAAAGATATACATGTCTATAGAGTATCTGTAAAAAACACTATAAAATATGCTGTAATATACGGTGGGTGGAAGTTAGAATACACTATAACAGATGACCAAAAAACAAACACTGAATATCAACCAACTGCTACAAAATAAAAAAGGGAGTCTTAACCAACAGCTAAACAAATTATAAAATTATAAAATTATACTTAGCAACTGCCAAAAAATACAAACAAATATACTGTTTGTTTGTGATGACGAATCCTTTCTTGTACTGATAGCATTTGTAAATAAATCCAGCTGTACCTAGGTGCTGGTGATGGAGCCTCCACATTAGGCACCGTGCACTCCGCCTCCATCATTGGACAGTACAGGCCGCTCATTTCCTGGGAAATGACACAAAGAAACATGTTTTTTCTTTTTCAGCTGCTGATGAAAAAGCCCCCGTTGTTGCCATTTCCAAAATATAATATGATTTCATAAACACATGTGCACAATCTCTACCTTCCCATTTACTATGAATGACAGTTATAGATTCTCTGTTTACCTCAACACGTTTAATGTCCTCCTCGAGAAAGTTGAGCTCTTTCTGCAGTTGCTCAAGTTGCTGTTGACAGAGCCAGAAACACAGATAAATATGACGGCATGTGAAAAGCTTTCAGGATCATTTGATGACAGCAGTATAATATTATAAGTATATTAAAACTAAAGTACTTCTCTCTTGTTTCTCCTGGCTTCTTTGAGGAACTCCATAAGGATCTGTCTCTGAGCGGCTTGGGATTCCTAGTGAATAGACGGAGAGCATACATGATATCGCATAGTAAAAAAAGTGATCGTAAAACAAGCAAAGCTGCAGAAAATAGAATTTTAAAAACATTTTTGGTTGCCAGACAATTGACCAATACAGTTGTTCCTTTGACATGTTTATACTTGTATAATGTTTATTTATACTGCAATGTTTAGTTGACTAATCAATTGATTGATACAAAATTATAATCACAGACTATTTTGAAAGACGCAATTGTTATCCATGTTCGTTAAAGTAATTTCATGCAAGCATTCTGTTGTCAGTCTCTCAAATATGGATATCTCCTGCTCTTATTGTTTATCTTAATAATTATCACAGTTAACGTTAATTACAGATGCTAAGAAGGCTAGCTGTGCTAACAGGACCCAGCCCCATCTCCCATCTCGTCCAAATATGGTCACTTTGGGCTTAAAAAACCAAGATGTCGACTGACAAAAATGCCAAACTCAAGGCTTTCAAATGGTAATCCACCAAACAATGGTCTTATATACAGTCTCTGGTTTGAATTGCCTCTAAGGCAGGAAGGAGAGAACTGAGATCAATGCTTTTTCAGACTTTCACTTGCAGATACCCTGGGTTCATTGTGCTGCCCATTTGTCAGTGTAACCAATCAGCATCGATTTGACAGAATCATGTAGTCCCTTCATCGTGGTCAGACGTATCTGTCATGCATTGTCAACTACCACAACTCTGTGTGGATACTGCATTTGGCAAGTGACTTTGTATCCTACTCCCTTGAAGTTACACATCCTACTGGGAAGTATTGTCCAGTACTACATTTATTATTAGCAGCCAAAAACGGATTCAGAATGCAAGAAAAAGTTGTCACCAAAGAAAAATAAACAACATTTCTGATGCCTGTTAAACTTTTACTCACCGCCTCCAGCTGCTTCTTTTTCTGGACTAGGAGCTCCAGCATCAGGTTGACGTTTGCCAGGTCCAAGTTCTCCTGGTCAGGACTCAAAACATCCTGGAACACCTGCCACCGAGACCCATTCTGTAGTCAGACACACCGATCAGTTGCATGCTTTCTAAAAAAACTAAACTAAAAGTAAAATAGTGTGCAGGAGTTTAACGGGATTCACAGGTAGACAAAAAAACTAAGCGGTGTGCGTGTTTTGTACTTACAGGATGATCTAGTTTTAGTCTCTTCTCTTCCGACCTCTGTTTCTGTTTAAGAATCAGTTCATTTACTGAAAGAAGAACAAATGGGGTGGAGCAGGTGGTTGGGATGGGGGGAAAGGAAAGAGTTAGGAAGGCTAGGTACTAAAAAACAGCTGTATATATATTAATGTTTCTTAAATGTATTGTAACAAACACTACGCAAAACGTCAAATCAAACAATGACTTTATCTTTTATTCTATAATGCATATGCTAAGTGTGACTTGACATGTAAATGTAAACACTCTATAACAGCTCTTGCATTATTGAATTGTTTACTGATCAATGAAAGCAGGATGAACCCAAGCAATACCGTGTTAAGACACAAACAAACATCCACTTTCTTACTCAAAATACCTACCAAGAAAGTTTGGGTAAAGCTGATCAACGTTATCGACAATATAATTACACTTGGGACATCTATTGCTGTCCTCCAGACTCTGGCGGATACACTTGAAACTGCAGAAGGGAGAAATAACAAAATGATGATATGTGGGAATACCTTGCAAATGTATGAGTTGTATACAATTCAGATATACAAGTGTTGAAATGCCAGTATAAAACTGTGCCATGCCAATAAGTTTGGCTTCTCTATTCTCATGTTTTTTTCTAATGTTAGACTTTTATGTTTAAATTCCTGATTGATTGTCACTCAGTCTTCCAAAGTCTTTTTTTTCAGAATCTTGCTAAGAACCTTACAAAAGTAAAAGCAAGTGTCTTCTCCCAATGATGCAAAGATTGCTCTTGGTTTGTTGAAGTTGGAAACTATAAACCAAACATATTTTAGTTTTTATGAGGTTGAAGTTTTTTAGGTGTTGACTAAACTGGTGGACAGGGGACGAAGAATAACACATTTGTTATTTTTTTACATGTTGCTCTGCCGTGCGTTTTAACAGCCCAACGGGTGTGTCATTATTCTAGAACAAAATGGGACACCTGTATCACACACTGCCTCATCTACACCTGACAACTTACCAAAAACTGTGCCCACATTTTGTCATGTGTGCCTCTTCTATCATCTCGAAGCAAATTGGGCTGGAAAAAAAGTACAGAAAAAGTGATGTCAAAGTTTAGCTTTCAAACTATTTAAACACTTACAGTGACAAATAAAAACAACTGCATACTGAAAAAGAACACGTTCTGAAAAAGGTCGTTGCGAAAACTAACCAGACAAAATCGTTGCTTTTATCTTCGTAGGAATTCAAGAGGCCGTTGTAGAGGGGTGCTTGGTGGTGGGATTTCTTTCGGCTGCCTGAAGAGGCAGAGGGTCTGCTCAGGGAAGCAAAGCCGCCCCGAGAAGAGGGTACGGCGGCCAAAGTTGGCACTGCCAAGCCGCCCTCGGTGGCTGCTGGTAGGGTCCGGGAGGGCACAACATTTGCAGAATTGTTCCCATTACTTGTGACGGCGTTGCTCCCACCGCTACTGTTTGAGTTACCCGTGCTACTGCTGCTGCTGGTGCTGGGCACTGAGCTCGCCCCACCGGGGCTCTGCTGTGGCCGGTTGCCTGACATCATGCGAGTCCGACTAGAAACTCCCCGAAATCCGCTGCGTTGCTCTTCAAAGCATCCGGACAGTGCTGCTATTTGGCTACCTTAGCAGGTTGGCTAGCTAGTTGGCTTGCTTATGTGCTAGCATCCTGGGAGAAAGCAACAGTGGACAAACATCCAGCGTATTTTAAACTTGTCCCTCCGTGTGTGCCTCACTTTTGACACTGACGGCCTATTAGAAACACACTGAAATATAAAGGACAGAAGACATAGGCATTGAAATGGCCAAAAAACAACCCAACTGCGTTGTTCAGGAGATTAGTCGGCTAGCTAGAGTTAGCTACGGAGAGGAATCTCTTGAGTTTCCTCGATTATTTCCCCAGGTACCCGGTGAGCTCCTGGCTTTCAACTACCTCCCTCTAGCGACAGGGAGTTGAACTGCGAGGATGGAAATCAATAGCGTAGTTAATGTGGCTATTTAAAATGTGATTTAAAGTCACTCCAATAGTTTTATGATGCAGTATTTTGTGGTTCTTTGGTATATTTTTGCATACTTATTGATGCAGTAATGTACTCTCTTGGTCTTTCATTAACATCTGCATCCGATTCAGAGATGAGACTATAGCCTTCCCTAATATTGAGTAGGCCTACACAAGCAAACATTTTAAAAAAGTAGTATCTACAAAATAATTTAAAGTATGGAAGCATTGACATGATTAGCAAAAATAGTTTTGGATTGAAAACAAATGATGTACAGTTCCTATGGTGTTGGCTATGTACAGTAACGGATAGTCATTCAACTGTAATTCTCAGCTGAAAACCAGAATGGAAAAAGAAAATGGCATAAATAAACTGTAAAGAACTGTATTTATTTGATCAAAATGTATCCTACTTTAATTATATTGCATGTTCATAAAAGGCCAATATATCAGCAAACTGAAAAGATCAACAGAAAAACACCAGAATATTGAGCTTGAGCTTTACAAGTCTGTAGCTTTATTGGAATTAATGTCATACTTCAGAGTGATGATTTTGCAGTTACTTCAAAAACAAGCAGGTAGGTCACTTCCATAAAGTGCAGCCAGCAACCAAGCCAAGAAAAACAGTGTAGTGTCATCCAAGTATCCACCTGCAGCTCCGCAAATAAAACCTAAGGAGCCCTAACTTATTCACACTCACAGTTTATCCAGCCTGCTACTTGCTTTTCCAATTTTACTTCCACGTGGACAAATAAGGGGTCCTCCATGTAGGCACGCACAACATGGATTTTCCCATGTTTTTGTTTGCAGAAGGAGTTTATGAAGCTCAGTTAGGATGTGTATAAGGTTTTTTAGCAAGGGGAAAATTACTGGATACATTGAAAAGTAGATTAATTTCCCTAAAAAGGACCACCATGTACAGTAGGATGATTTTCATCGTGTTGGTCAATATAAAAGAAATATGAGTCTACTTGTATCAGTAATACATATATTTGAGCAGATCTTATTGGATTAAATACATTACAATAAAATCATATACTTCAAAAAAGCTAACACTGTAATTTGGGAAATGTTTTTTTTGTGCTGGAAAGTAAACGTATACATTTACTCAATTTAAGTACAATTGTACTTTTCTTTATTTCAATGTTCTGCACTGTTCCACTTCTACTTCATCCTAATTCATTTGAAAATGATGTTGTGTCTTTCATTCATTCAATACCTTAAATTACTTTGAAGATTTATATTTACGATTCAAAATATAACTATAATACAAATTACCAAACCTTTTTTCAAATTAAAACATTACCTTATTGATCCATTGTTGGAAGAACAATAAACGAAACAATCCATTCATATTTATAATCCAATATAATATCTATGCATCTAGAATAGTCTGTTGTCATGAATAAGTACCTTTACTTCTTGTATGTTGATACTAATACTTTTGAACCTGTAATTAAGTATTATTTGAATGAAGGACTTTATTGCTACTTAAGTAGCCTAAAAGATCTGAGAACGTTGTCCACCGTACTTTGTTTTTTTAAATGATCTTTCCGTATAAAGGATAACAAACTTTTAAGGATAACACAATGCAGATTGATAAAAATAATAATAAGTGTCTATAAAGTCGGACAGAAATATCAGTAATAGCTTATGATTTGAACACCTGAATTACCCCATGCAACAACGGACTCTGAATAAGACCCTTTGAGCCAAACACCTGCAGTACTGTATGTACATCGTGTTGCATTTGTCCCCCTCAAGCCCTCTCCCTCCCCCCTTTCTATTTTATACCAGTGGTGGTGAAAAGCTTTCCGTCTTTCTTTCCCCCTTTTCTTCTTTCTTCCCCTCCTCATTTGTCCTGCACATCAGCCTGGATTTTCTCCCATTGGGTCCCCCTCTTTTGCATGAGGTGTGTGTGTGTGTGCGCGCGTGTTTGGGGAATGTGTGTGTGTGTGTGGTTGTGGTGGATAGACGGCAATGTTGGTGCGTTGGGAGGTTAGTGAGTGGCAGAGACGTAAAAAAAAAGAGAAAGAGTGAGTGACACTTAGAAAATAATGAGGGTGTGTGGAGGAAAGAGAGTGTGTGTGTGTGTGTGTGTGTGTGTGTGTGTGTGTGTGTGTGTGTGTGTGTGTGTGTGTGTGTGTGTGTGTGTGTGAGTGAGTGAGTGAGTGAGTGAGTGATTGAGTTAGTGGGGAAAACGTGTGTGTGAAACAGAGAGGGGAAGACAGAGAGCGGGCCTCAGGTTCGGTGGGGTCAAGACCGACAAGCTCAGATGAGGGATAATCTGTGGAGGTCTCTTACAGCGGGGGGTGAGGCCCCGGTGGAGCACGCTCATTCAGAGTCTCTCTCAGACACACACACCCACACACACACACACACACACACACACACACACACACACACACACACACACACACACACACACACACACACACACACACACTATGCACATCGCTCTCTTCCTCTCTTTCTCTTCTCCTTCATCCTCCCTTTCTTGTTGCTTTCTCTAAAACCCACCCCTCCTTTTTCTCTTCTTTCATTTTTTTTCTTCTTCCAACACAGTTGCAGCTGGATTTCAAAGGGCACTTGGCCAGCAGAAAAAGCTGAATGTTTAGCAGGCAGATCCCTCTCAGTCAGGCAGGCTAGGATTGTGGAATTCCTGCCTCCCACTCTTTAGGAACCGTTTTTGCCCCTTCGGGGGCCCCTGCCATAACTGCCAGCGGCCTCCTCCATCTCCATCTCCATTCTAGAGCCAGGCCTCTGTTTGCAAATTGAGTCTGACAAAAATAGTGGAGTCTGGGGGAGAAGAAGGGGCAGCATTTAAAAGGTGTGGAACAACAACAGCTGCCTATAGTGGTCACTTTCTTTCTTAATTATCTCTTAAATAAAGAGTGACTGCATCAAGATAAAATGCGTAAATTATATTTGACATCAACATCCACACAATTGTTTAATTAAACTCGCAAAAGGACACTTAAAAAATCTTCAAGTGGCATAAGTCTACAAACAGCCGATTGCAAATTAAAGCTCTACAGTTTTAAAGCCCCTTCAATATGAGTATAGATTTTGTTAGCAGTGTCTGGAAACCTCACTGTAAGTGCACCTGTCTTTTGAGTTAGGAGGGCCTGCACACATTGCCAAACGCTATTTTTTTACCCATTTGCATGTTATTGTTCATGAGTCCAAATATTAATCCGTATATCATCTGTTACAAAAACAGAGTTTTTGGTTTGAAGAGACAAAAAGACATACAATGATGGGGTTCCGCAACTTTTTCAGTAAAATGCACTTTTTTTTCCCGCGTGAAAAAGTGGATGAAACAATGGTAGCAAATTAGTGCACACAACTACTGAAGTTAGATTCTCTTATAAAGTGCTCTATACAGCGTTGCCTCTTCTGCTGTATAAACATGACTTAATAGAGAAATAGAGTATTTCTCTCTTAAAAAATCCAATACAAAATGGTGAACAGACTGTTACTGATTGTGAGATCCCAAAATGAGTGGAATCAAACAGACTATTTCTTAGTAGGTAAAAGGAACCAGAATCATTTTCAGACCTTGGAAAAGTTAGTTTGACAGAAGACAATAAAAAGTACCTCAAGGGCTACTAATTTGTTAAATGTATGTTTCAGTGTATCTTGTCTTAAATATTTGTCCTTGTTGATGTTGCTGTGTGTGTGTGTGTGTGTGTGTGTGTGTGTGTGTAGAGTGTGTGTGTGAGAGAGAGAGAGTGAGAGAGTGTGTGTGTGTGTGAGAGAGTGTCAGCCACATCCACCTTCATTCATCTGTTGCCAGCTTGACAGTAGAGCTTCCCATTAAGAAGACATGACACAGTGGTGGAAAGTAACTTAGAACATTTAGTTGAGCACTGTTCTATGTTTTTTTTTTTTTTTAAAGTAAGACTTATTTACTACATTTTAGAGGAAAACATTTTCACATACATTTACTATATTATACATTAATATTTTATACTTAAAACCAATAATGAACTATGACCCCCAATATCTACAAACAGATACACAGATATAAAGAACCATTGAAAAAAATATATATTTAAAAAAACACTATATACTATGTTGTTTACCTTTACTTTTGTTGTGTACATAACTTACTGTACACTATTATGTTTATGCTTAACAGTATTTGACCAATTTTAGGAAGTATTCAAAGTTAAAAGTATAGGTAAAAGTGGGTACTGCAATTTCAAGATAATTCGTTACAAGTAAAAGTCCTCCACTGTAAATGACAAACCAGAAATGTATCATAGTGGTTTAATAGTAGTTGGTTTAGTTGAAGCTTAATTTAGCTATATTTTATTCTGTTTAATTTAATCCTAGAAGTGGATATAGTATACATCCTTATGCATGCAGACTCTGCATCTGCAAAGTAACCAAAGCTGTCATGAATGAATTTAAGTTAAAAAAAACAATATTCCTAGTACCTCAAAATTGTAGGTTTCTTGGTTAAAACTTGCCACTGCAGGTTGCTGTTAATAACATTTTAAATGGAAGTTACTTTAATGAATGTGTTTACGTTCATGTGCTGCTACTTTTACTAAAGTAAGGAAACATCCACTAGAGGTGGATGGATGGATGGATGGATGGATGAGATCAGGACAAGAATAATATACATAAAGTTGATAGCCTCCTTCCTGTGTTGCCCCTATGCAACAAGAGGGATGTTCAGCACAGGACTGGGCAGGGGAAAGAGGAGAGGATTTCCCTTGTAAAACACAAGTGTGAGCCCCCCCTTGCAACCCTCTCCTCCCTCAACCACCTCCACCGCACTTCCCCTACCGGTGATGTCAGGGCGGGCAGGGGCTCCCTGATAATAAAAAAACCTTTAGACTCGAGAGAATGAGAGAGAGAGAGAGAGAGAGAGAGAGAGAGAGAGAGATGGAGGAGTGAATGGAGGAGGATATTACTACTACTGCACGGACCGATGCAGAGGAGCAGCAAGTCACTCTGAGGCGCACACAGACGCACAACAAAAACCAAGAGGAGCTGACGCGCAGACGCCGAGCTATGATTTAATGGACTAATATTAGTGTCCCCTCTTTCAGAAATTATAGGAAAAAGCTTCTGCTCAACAAGTATGGTAGCTAGTTAAGGACTGGCACTTTGCATTGAGTTTGGAGTGACTTTTCTTTTTTCATTATTCTGGTTCACCTTGCAGCCATATTTTGGATCAGGACGCACTGAATTATCCCGCTGTGGTCAGGTAAAAAAGAGGCTTTATTCAAAGTCAGTGTGGATTTAAATGATCATATTTCACCTGATTTATTCCTGGAATTGAAATCAGCCCTCTTAGGTTATAAAAAAAACAATTCTGTTTGTTTATTTCAGATTTGAAATCAGCCTGACGTTTAAACATAATTGTTTGGCTTACTAAAACGCAGAAAGGAGTTTTATAAACTAATGTTTTTTTTTCTAGAAGTAAACAGAAACTTAAACACGCTACAGATATTTTTGCGGAATACACAGATGTAAAGAAGGCTCGTGCAAAGTGCAGAACTGTGCTGCAGCTGCGTGAAGAAAGGATTTGGATGAACTCAGAATCAGAGAAAAATAATCAGATCTTCAGCTGTTAAACGTCTGCTTTATTCAAAAATCAACACAAAACATACAGAACCTCAATATCCAATAAGTTCAAGAATGTAACAACCTCTTTCTTTAATTGATTCATTTCGAATGCACTGATTTATGTTACATTTGATTATTTTTATAATTTGTTTACCACAATAAATACATTTTCTAATTCGGTAGCCTAAACAGATGTGTCTTTATTACTTAATAAATATACACAAACAAATCGAATAACCACAGTTTGGCGAATTGGCGTGAGACCTCTTGCTGCTGACCTGGAAACAAGAGGCTGACTTTTTAAGAGCTAAAACGTCCCGTCCCCCCCCACAATTTGTCTTCAATAAAACAACGACAAAAACCTGTTCCTAACCTGACACAATGTTGTTCATCAGACTACTGGCTATATTCCTTGTTTTCATCACAAACACGTGGCTGCTCAGCCCGGTTCGCTCCGATGCAATGAGCCGGAACAAGCGCAGCATGGCCCGGCGGGCAGACAGTGAGCTCTCCAGGCTAGCAGGTGAACCCTGCACCTCGTCCGGCGTCTGGAGGTCCCTGCGGCAACCCCGCTCCCTCTCCCCGTCCCAATACCGCCCTCCAGCGGTCCGTCCGAGGACACACACGAGCCGGAGAGAGCCGTACAGTGTTAAGAGCGCTCCTTCGGTTTGTGAGGGAGGGTGCAGCAGGTTTGACACCGGGGTCCACCGGGTCGCTGCCGCGGGGGAGGATGTGGCGGAGAGCGCTGGGGACGGATATGATACGGTTACCGGACGGCACTTTGAGAACAGCCACACAAACGACAAGCGAAAGATAAATTATGTCAGTGAAAGCACCACGCAGCAGCCCGGAAAGCCTCTCCTTAAAGACCCCGGGAAAACCGTGTCCTCCTCGGGCCACACGAAGCCCTCCCGCAGCACTCTCTCGAGGGTCACTCGCAGCCTCCTCGGCGCGTCTACGTACGAGGAAGACGGTAACTCCAGCTGGGAGAAAGTTTTCCCTGACAGCTCAACAGATTCCAGGGGTCTCCTGGTACTCTCCAGGCTGCAGCAGGAAGATGGAGACCAGCAGTCCTCCACCGGTAACATTGAGGATAGTACCGAGGACTACTCCGGGGAAGTGGTGGAGGAGGAACAGCCCGCGAACATGCCTGTTGGGAGTTCCCTTCCCTGGGGGAGTCCCTTGCCAAGGGTGCCCCCTTCCTGGATGACTGCCCTGTACTTCAGTGGACGCAGGGAGCAGCTGAAGGTGAAACCGGCTGCAGGGGTGGAGCTGCCGAGGGCCAAGTTCAGCCTGGAGCTTTGGGTGAAGCCTGAGGGAGGGCAGAGCAACCCTGCAGTCATAGCAGGTGGGTGAAAACTGAGCATGAGCTGCATGATAGACACGAACTGATGTGGAATGTACAAGTAGCACCAAATTACTCAAATAGACCCACTGTACTTACATATTATACACATTCAAGTTACTTGTAGGCTACTTGTATAGGCATATCTCAATTGTATGCAATTGTATACCTATTATCCACTACATCACAGAAGCCAATATGAAATGTTGTAGTTTATTACTCTGACAGCTTTAGTTACTTTCCATATTACAATTTTACCTACCCTTTTAGTCCAGTGAATGACAAGTATCTCTATTTGGTATGTCTCCCCTAAACTGAAAGATTTTTAAGTAAGCAATAGTTAAAATTAGCAGAACTTTAAACATCCTTAAACATATAAGGCAACAGTAAAACGAGTCCCAAAATACATCCTTTTAGTAGCCTAGTCACTGTCAGGGAACATTCTACTTTTCTTTTGGTACTTTGGCACATTTGCCTGGTAATATATTTGATACTACGAAAACTAATAACTAAGGTTTGAAAAGTAAGATGTTGACTTTTACTGGGTGTGTTCACACTCTGGTTTTACTACTTAAAATATCTTAAAACTTCTCTGTGTTAGTAAAACTCATATCTTCTTACTAAAGTACCCCCTGGAAGATGTAAGCAGAGTCTCATGACCGCACACTGTGTTGGGGATATATGCCCCATGACAGAATCTGGGAGATATATTCATTTATTTTTCTCCAAGAACACTTTCCCAGTCTGAGAACTATACTGATCCAGTATCAGAACTTTTTTCTCCTTGTCTGCTTGTTCTTTCCCAGTTCTCAAGAATCCTAGATTATATTCTGACACTTAAGGGTGCTGTATGTTATTGCAAATAATTTGTGACAGCTATACTATATCTACTAACCCTAATAACATTTGGGTTTTCTTTTTTAACAGCAATGACTTGTGCTGTGTGACGTTAGTATTAAATGGCTTCCAAGAAAAAATGAGCCTACTTTTCACCAGAAAGGTCAAACGGAGTTCAACCAGGGTTTAGGGTTTTATTTATATGATTGTCAATTCAATGTGTTTCGGTTTAGGAATCTGACAGGGACAAATCAAGACTTTATAGGGTCGTATTGGTATCTGGGAAATAGTCATCGACTTCTTTTACTCTTTGCTGCAAAAAAAAAAATTGTATTTAATTGTGTACAAAAAGGCTTATACTTTCAATTGAACACAGAGCCAGGCTCCAAATGGTTATCCTTTATTAGAAGAATAAAACAAAAAAACTTCCACATGAATCTAGTGAGTTATCTGATCACATAACATTATTTTTAAACCAGTTTTTATCATAACATACAATTACATTTTTATTCTTCACTCAAAACTGGAAATCACTGTTTTTCGACATCAAAAGTGAATGTCACATTTGAAAAGCTGCACATTTGACAGGACAACACCTACATCAAACAAATTCAAGAGGATAAAAGCACGACGGTGCAGCATCACAGCTGTCCAGATAGTGAGGGAGACCCCAAACTGTTACGTCGGCTCACATTTACTCTGATCAAAGATCCCACTCCATTACTCAACTACATTTCCCCCCTCATTGCTTCCTTATGTGAGGGTGGAATTCTGTGGCATGGGCCTTTCTCTTTGTAGTGTTCTGAAGGAATCTGACAAATACAGTGACAAACAAACTCCTATTGTTTCTGCTAGACATGACATTGATATCGGTTAGACTTCTAAAGGTCACTTATTGTCTTGTTCTTTGTACATTGCATTCTTTTTTTGTCATGTTATTGTATATGTTACAGTGAGTGCTTGAGAAACAATGATATTAACGAATTTCCTCAGTACTATGTATTAATTAATGTACTTTATTTTGGCCAACATTTATGCTAATGTCTTAAATTATATTATTCGAAAACTGGATTAAAATGAAGGCCCTTGTTGTGATGGGGCGCCACATGCTGAGAAAGTAAATAGTCTTAAAAAAGGATTGGTTTTTCAAATGTTGATAAAGGTTAAAACATTTGACAACTTTCCTCAATGTAGAAAACTTTAGAATTCAAACGCATTTCATGCATTAAAATACAGTTATTGTTCAAATATAATATATTTTACTGAGGGCTTCCTGGTAGTGACCAACCTCAGAAAATTATCGCTTAACTCTGGAGTTTTTTTAGCTTTACAAAATATTTGCCTTTAAGCCCATTGTTTTGGTTTTCTGGCCTTGAAATTGGCTAAAGAGGTTTTCTCTATGACTTTCATCAACCTTGTTTCAAGGAAAGAAAATAAAATCTCTGATACCGCCAAGCGCCAAACTGCAGAAATATTAGCGCCATGCTAATAGCGGAGTAGCTTAACAGCCAGAGGTTTCCCTCCCCTGTTGGGAACAGAAAGAGTCAATATTGGACTTGCATTGCCAGAAACATGGCGCCAAGTGAATGCTAATGTTGCTTCCAGACTGCTTAAGGTGTAATTAGCCAATTGTTTGCTGACATATTTGCAATAACAGTTTTAGAAAGACATTTTATGTTAATATTGTGTTTTCTGCTATTTACGCTGCCCCTAACTGGCCCCCCCAAAAATGTAATGCAGCTTTAAAACATTAGTTCCTAATGGATACCAGGAGAGAGATGAATAGTATCCTCAAACTAATATTTGTGGTATTGCAAATGTCTCACAACCTAAACACCACATTTTCCCATAACCTTGATGTTTCCTCTTGCAAACGCAGTGTTGTCACTTTTTTGGCAGTTTCCCCACGACCATCTGCTGTTGAATGAAACACAGAAAACTTTAGCTCAATTTTGTTTCATTTAAACAACGCCCTCCTCCTGGTTTGTGCCAAACTTCAACAGATTTCCAAGGAGATTAAATTTTGAGACACGTATCACCGAGAAGTGTATGTAACTGTATTTGTGAATTTGTCACCATTGGATGATTGATGGTTTATTAATGACTTACAGTAGTCCAATATTTTAACATTTAGCATTTTGTGAGTTACTGTGGATTAGTGATGTTGCGTGATAAGTCGATTTTAAACGTTGGTACCCTTGCTCGTCTGTGACCCAAATAGAAGTAAGTTATTGGTAGAATTATTATTACTTAATGAATGTACACATTTAAATAACATATTGGCTTAATTTGCACTGAAAAATAAACAATTCTTCATTCAGTTAGCTAGTTAAGATGAACAAAGACGTTTTCAAATGGCTAATACAATTGGCGCAACATTTTAAGTTTATCCTTATATATTATATTGTGCTCAATGTTTCTGAGTATGTATGGATAGATTGGTATACATATATTTGTTTGATTACATTTGGTAGTACAATGTAATCTAATTAACTTGGCCCAGCTACTGTTTAGCCTCCCAACGACAGCTTTCTTTAACTGAATGAATTGCTTAACCATGATCCTGGCTCACTTCAGAAAGGATATTTTGCTTTAGTTTTCCCACTTCTCACACTTGCACACACATAGTCATGTAAACATATACACATGCTCATACAGTAGAGCATTAAGGAGGGTGAAGGGGTTCCCTGACCCCACGCTGTCCCAGTGAAACACATCTGGGGAGCAGATGTGGATCTGTGTGTGTCTGTTGCAACAGCAAATGAAAACACAAGGGCCTTGCCCTGGCTGAGAGAAATACCTCCGTCCTCCCTTCCCTCTCTGTTCTCTCTTACTATATCTGGCTCTGTCTATTCTCTGTATGTCTCAGCCTCTCCTACTCTGGGGTCCCAAGTCCTCAGGACCGCAAACACTTGGAAAGATTGCTTGTTTGTGGGTTTATTTATGTGTTTTCATAAAGGCTATGAGCTCATTGTGAATTAGTCCTTGGACCCTGCCAGATAATAATTGCTTTATTGAATTTTTTTACTGGTATTCTTATTAAATAATACACATTATAATATATTTTACTTTCCCCCTTTCCCATAGGTGTATTTGACAACTGTTCCTATTCACTAAGTGAGAAGGGCTGGTCGGTAGGTGTCCGCACTGTGGAACCCGCCAGTTCCAAAGACGCACGGTTTTACTTCACGCTTCGCACAGACCGAGCTTTAAAATCCACCACTGTCTTAAGCCACCAGCGTTACCGAGCCAACGCCTGGACTCACCTGATGGCTACTTACAACGGCCACAACATGACCCTGTATGTTGATGGAGCTAAGGTGTGTAATTTGAGTGTTTTGGTGGTCGAACTTTGGCTCACATTTTGGTCATTCACCTCTTAAGTTTCAACTCAACGATCACTGAAATACCATGATGGTATATTGACATCACAATCCAAGCCCAAGGTCCACCTACTAGATTTCTCTGGGTCTTTCACCAACATCACATGGTCTTTATTTTGTTTCCCAAGCTACATAATCGTCTTTATGCTTAAACGTGACATAGATGTATAGAGAACAGCTACTTAGTTTGCTTGTCAACAGATCAGTCTCCATGACAACTGAGCAAACTCAAACTCATGAAGACATAGTTACTTGGTTGAAAGCCTAGAAAAAACTAGTATGCAGATCTTTAGTTTGGATTATTTTGTCAAACATGTCGGAGGTCAAGATGACCTTTTTTCTTAAATGCTTATTTATTCATCATCCAATTTATTTCATGCCAGTTTCAGAAAAATTGAAATAGGAGAGAGCAAGAGACTATATTAGCTTCTAATTTGGCCATTCTCAATTGATCAATAATTTAATTTAATTGTTTTTTGGATAGCTCGTCTTATTAATAGCAGGCTGTTGTAGTGTTAACCAATCGGAGCATTAAAGGAATAGAGAAAATATGTAAAAAGCCTTAACTTTGTTGACAATCAGATGGAGAGCTTCACAAGTGACATGCAAAATCAGCAGCTGCAAACCCTGGGTTATTTAATGCTAAATGTGTACTTTTTAGGAAGTCAAATCATTTTAGGAACTTTTGATTAGAACATAACTCATGGTATTATGTTTGTAACAATGCAAGGGAGAGACATTTATTTTCTGCCCCTTTTGAATTGTTTGGCTGTCATTTCTCCCCTGCTTGTCCTTTCAGGTGGGAGAGAGCAGTCATCAGTCGGGGAATCTCTACAGTCCTTACATGAAGACATGCAGAACCCTATTCCTCGGCAGTAACCAATCGGATCAGGGAAACAGCTTCAGGGGCCACATAGGGGGTGTGGTGCTGTGGGGCTATGACCGCTCCCATGAGGACCTGCTAAAGCGGCCACTTCAAACTGATAAAAGCGAGCCATTGGTGGCAATGTGGGCTGACTTCACTAATGTAATAAACTATATCTCTTTTTTTGCAAAAAAACATTTTCCTCTCAAACTTTTTCCGTGTTTAGTTGTTGCATATTAAAACTGGTCTGGTTTTAGTAATACAATTAATTTATTTTACTTCTTACTTTGAGGTGGAACAGCTATGGACTCCTAACAAAGTTGGCCTCCATCCAACAATCATCACCACTCCTGTCCCTGAACAAGAACTAGTATCCCCATTCCTGCCGCCACCCTGTGGCCTGACACCCTGCGACAACACCGACATCATCTCCGGCTACAACAACAACTGGCAGCTCCGTGCTAACAAGCAAGTTCGCTACCAGATCGTCAACCTCTGCAATGACTCTGGCGGAAATCCCACCGTGTCTGAAGCCCAGATCCAGCTCCAGCACCTGGCTCTAACTGAGGCATTCCGCCCTTACAACATCACCCTGGATCTGAGCGTGCACACTGTCAGAAACTCCAGCTTCAGAGAGCGGTTTATCCTCAGCAACTGTCGGATTGGGAAGATTGGGAACCGCAAATGTGACCCTGAGTGCGACCACCCGAGGACAGGCCATGACGGAGGGGACTGCCTTAGATTGGGACTCTGCTACAACTGGAAGAGACAGGATGGAGTTTGTAACATGGAGTGCAACAGTATACACTATGACTACGATGATGGAGACTGCTGTGACCCGGGGGTCACTGACGTCCTCAAGACCTGCTTCGATCCCGAGTCCCCTGACAGGTGAAGTTCCAAATACTCTAACTTCTTTTTGGTTTCTGTTAAAGGTCACCTATTATGCACAATTGACTTTTCCATGTCTGTTATACATAAACATGTGTCCCTTCTGTGTAAAGAGATTCTGAAAGTTTCAGGAAAAAAGATTCTCTCTTTTTGTCCTGATCCATTTATATAAAATCCTGTCTGAAAATGAGCTGATCAGATTTTGGCCACTTTATGATGTCATAATGTTTTTTTGGCTTGTGTAAGCATTAGCCAATCACCAACCAAGGTAACACCCCCCCACACCTTATCACCTGAATCTCCTCCTAGAGCACCATAGTGTTCTTTGTAACCAAATATCTCTCAGAGGGGCGTGGGGAGGGGCTCCTTATTTTCATCTAAAGTAACAGACAGAGAATCAGCACTTGGAAACAGGGCTGAAACAGAGGGGATTAGGGGATGCTGCAATGATCTGTTTGGTGTTTCAGCCAAACACTTCAGAGACATGTTTTGTATATCTGAGAACTATAATATATTGAGGAAAAACAGTGTAATAGGGGACCTTTAAATTACTTCGAATGAAACTTAACTCTTTCTGCAGATGTGTCACAGTGTTATATCTGTACATAAAAGGAAAATAAACATTAGTTGACAGGGCCACATTTTACTCTACATTGTACGACTTGGCTCAATTTACTTTTGCTATCAACTTTTCTCAACTTCCTTTTTGCATACAGATAGTACCCCCTCCATTTAGTCAAATTTAGGTTGACTGTATATAAACAAAATATGCGGTCGCTATTGACTGTAGCTTGGCTATAAAGCAATTGTTGATTTGTACACAATGTCCCTTGTTGTCCAAGTTATGATTTCAGTTTTTATTCTCTCTGACCACTGAGCAGTCTGCAGTGTTATTAGTATCCACACAGCTCACTTGGAACCTCGACTGCGTTGGTACCAAACAAGTATCAGGTAAAACCACAAAGTTTGCCAATGGACAACCAAAAGATATGTTCTAAGCTAAAGGAAATCTGACATTACTGTCTTAGAGGATTTTAAGTCAATTGTTTCCAGAAGTATGTTGTTGCATGTCCCATACATTTTTTAGAATATACAGTAAACTGACCGGTCCATTGATATGTATCAATGTATATTAAGACAGGAGAAAAGTGTAAAGGGCTACAATGTAAGATTGACAGAGTGGTGAAAGCACCAGGGGGATACGTATATCAGCCAGTCAGGAGAACATGTTTTTCCAGAGACAAGGAGAGCATAAACGGCCACAAATTTCTCCCCATGAGGTGAATATCTGCTTCAGCACGCTAAATTGTGCTTCAGCAGGGATTTGCAATGAACAGCTCAACATGCTACATCTACAAATTGGTACTCTCACTTTCCCCAGTGGTTTTAAACAGGGCTCTGTGAAGTGGGGACGGCGGGTGAAGAGGCCAAAGTACACACTTATTTTTACTAAACAACTAGAGCGGGAGCCTGCTGTCTTCTATTTGGTCTGACAGACAGGCTCATGCAGAGTTCCAAATAGCATGCATGAAGTCTCGCCATGAAGTCGTCGGCCCAGGCTCTTAAAGACCCCGTTCTTAATCCAAATTGTAACCACAAGCTTTACACTTGGCCACTGGGAAACAGAACATGGGAGCGAGAGCTATTTTTTAAAACGATTTTGCGCTTTGTGTCCAGAGTTGACAGAGTGTGACAGCTTAATGCAAGGATGTATTAATGTTTTTTAAACTAGTAGCTTTTTTAAAGGATTACAACTTCTTTTGTCATGATTCAAATCCCAACGTTTCAATTTAAGCGAATGTCTATCTACATAACACTTATTTAAAATCACAAATTGGATATTTATTCCTTATTCAACCCAATTCCTTTAGCTTCAAATCATGTTTATTATGAACAAATATGAGAAAACCTTTGTTGTAAAGTAATTTCATCACAATTTGATGACTGACTCTGATGGTTAGGGTTGCTGAGCTATGAATAAAGGACACACAAAACTTGATATATGCTCAAGCTTTGCCTTAGGCAGAGGTCATGACCTTGGGAACATTTGATTTAAGATGAGGAAATGCCTACTGTCTTATTCATAAATAATACCAACAGAAGGTTATTGGTATTTCATTCTGTCAATCAGGAACTTGGTTAACCAATACCCAAGTCCAAGTAACAATTCCAAACTTAAACTGTATATAAATGACTGTTGGGTTTTACAAAAGTGAACTAGTGGAAACACAATTATACTATTGTATGGGAAATTGAAGATTAGCTTCTTATCCACACTGCCGGTAGCTTTACGTATCATAGATGTCACAGTTCCTGCAGCGATCTCTTTTCCTACATTAAGTAGTATCGTAGTATAACCAAATGCTACATTCCGTTATGTCTGTTTGTACTTTTTGCTGATGTATGCATCAGCCCAAAGATGGCTAAGCATGCTTTTGAACAGAAGATCATAGGCTTACATAATTAAAGTAATCTGAAGTTCATAGCTTTTACCACCATCCTTAGTCAAAAAAGGTGCCATTGAGCAAGGCACTTAACCTCCAACTGTCAAGTTATACTGGACAGCTCTAAAAGGCCAGCATTAGGACTGTGCAGCTTCCAGTTGTAGATTTGAGCAGCTTTGTGAGTGCGAAACAGGCTGTTGCTGGAAAATAATCTGGTGCTCTGTTGACTCTCCCTGGAGGACAAAGGCTTCAGTTAGGTCAAAGTTAATCTGCATCTGTGTGGTCTCTAATGTATGTCTTATCTCCTCACAAGGTTAGTGGGATAGACCCAGTGAGGCAGACAGGAGAAAAGTAGGTTCGGTACATGTTGTGGTCAGATGTTCCCTCGGCTCAGCCTGGGCTGGGTAACCCACAGAGAGGAGATGGACACTGATGAAAAATATTGGACAGCAGACAGCACTCTACTCTGTTGTTTTGCACAAAACGTCGGTCTGGTCCTTGGCCTGAATTATATAAAATGCTCCGTGATTTATTCTAGATTTACTTTGATGGTTACTGCAAATAATATTCAGAAAAAAACAAAGGAAAACGTATCCACCACACTTACCTTTGGGTAATAGCTGGAATCCGTTTTAGTTTGATATATGACAGGGTACTGGAGAGATCAATGTAATGTGTTGATTTTGATGTGAGCACACTTTTATAAATCATGGCTCTGGATTTGATCTGGTTTCATGCAGAATCTTTTTGCATGAGAGACTTCCATAAATAAGGGCTCTGCTTTTCAGATTTTCAAAAGCAAAGCTCCAAAAGTTAAAGTGTGTTCACTTCTAAGCAGTGATGTTACTGCTTCAGTGAATCTTGCCAGAGTTCCTGTCTATACGCCCCTGACCTCCCACTAAAAACAACATGAGCAGCCAATACACAGGAGATCAGAGTGTAGTAAATCTGGGCTCAGTGGACTTACAGTAGTGTAGGTCTTCTGGAAAGGTCCTGACCCCAGCTTGTTGGAAATCCTTATGTGTGAGAGTGCTTCGACATGCTTGCATGCATGTGTGTGTGGGGGTCTGGATCGCAAATTTCTCAGACAGGGAGACAATTAATGTGAGGATGACATTTTGCTGGCATTTACGGAGCACAGGACAATTTTTATGTTCTGGATCTGGGTTTTTGATATCCAACCTCCCTCTTTTCTCTGAGCTCTTGGCCAGGTATTCCGATTGTGGGACCCTATATGTGTGCAGCTGCTGCTGGCCAGTACAAGGCCAGAGGTTTTCCAAGCCAGTTGCTGTCACAACACAAACTTGTTGTTAAGAGCCAGTTCTATATAGCTATGGCCAGGTACACTAATAATTCTGGCATTACAAGAAGGGCCGGGAAGGAAAAGCTAACAGAAAGAAAGAGAGGCAAGGGTTACGCTCATTAATGCTGAGACACATGTTGAGTATTTGCTAACAGTTTGGATTTGTAAAAACTGGACAGTGCATTTGTGTGCAAAGAGGTCCAGGCAACTCCCCTGAAAGAACAATCTTTTTCAGTTTGACAGTTACCGTGAATGTGAATCTCAAGTTTTATTGTGGTCATGTTTTATTCACTAATAAAAACATAACTGCAATGTTTTCCAGAACATAATTCATTATAGAAAGGGTCATTATTTACCTTTTGTTGTCATTTGGGAAATGCTATGCATGTCAAGCTTTCTGTTCTTGCATGACAGTTTAGGAAAGAAATATACCATACATTTGTGGTGTCACATTTACCATCAACATTCTTGGTAAGTTTTTAAACAAGGGGCTTTTGATTTCAGATAAAGGGTAGACAACAACAGATTGGCATGACAACTGACGCTAGCAGATTTAATCAGCTGTAGCTAGCTAATTTATTAAGCTAGCATTTGTTCCATAAGTTGGTTACACATCTCCAGCTAACTTTTTAGTATTTCCAGCTGATTAGTTTTGAATGAAGAACGCTGTTAAATGTTTTTAGTTTTGAATGAAGAACGCTGTTAAATGTTTTTAAATGTGCATTTGATGTCTATATACGAAATATGGGTTGCTAAGTTATAAACAAATCTTGAAAGAGCTGCTAACTTTACAGTTAACTCTCCACCAATTGTGGCTATCATTTGCAACACAAAGGGTTGGTTTCAGGAAAAGGTATACAAATTGTACACTTAAAGGCTGGTTCGACTGGTTTTCAGTATGCGCTAGTACACTGCTGCACTAAAGAAACCTGCACTGGTTATATATTACCTGTGAGTTCTTGTGTTTTCCTCTAGCACTGCATTCATCAAGCCCTTATGAGGAACTGTTTAGATTGTAGATGCTTTTGTTTTCTCTATTTAAACATGTAACATTGCAGTGCACAGTATGTATTGAAGTTAAGTATATTATATATCAAAAGGTTTGATTGCTGTTTATTTTAGAGTCTGTGTCCTGATTCTTGAGGTTTGAAAGTAAAATACAGCTTAACATGGTGACAGTGCTAATGCTTACACTGCTGTTGATTTACACAGTGTTTGAATTGCCCACAAATGTTTATTTTGGTAAATCATAACTTTGGTTTTGGGCTCACCTAAATGATGTAGAGCCATTGATTTTTTGCCAGGTTAGACATCCACTGAGGCGTCCTCTGAGTCTTAGAAGTTGAAGAGTCAACTCTTTAGTGGTCAGCTTTCTGTCACTTGTAATAGCACAGCCCACGTTGATGGATACTGCACGCAGCCTCAGCTAACCTCAATGCTTTAGTAATGTATTGAGAGCAGGGTTTCCCTGAAGCATCTTACATCTTAAACCTCATTTATTCAGGAAAAGTGCCTGAGAAAACACATGTCTATTTACAGTATAAAACACATGCACTCAGGGAAGGATTGCTTTAGGGGGAGGATTACACACATGCAGGACTCTGGGCTGTCGAGTAACCCCTTTGGACCAATTTAGAGGCAGAGTACTTCACTTAATGGTACATTGAATGTAATGTATAGGATAATTGGGATACTTTTTCCTACTTTCATCCATCTATATTTTTCCCAGCTGAAAGCTCAGATTTTCAGTCACAAGCTCACCTGCGTTTCCTTCAGGCTGTTGGAACAGTATAAGCAGGATTAAGCCAAAGCTAAAGTGTTTAATGAGTAATTCTATGAATTATATTTTGATGGAAAAAAAGCTAAGAAAAGAGCGTGGTTAAGTAATATTATTAAATAAAGCCCTAAAGCTGAGCTTGATCAAAAGCATAAACCTTAACTTATTTTTCAGAAAATCATCAGGATACACTTTAAGTGACTTAGGTAAACATTAAAATATGGCTTTGTAATGTTAACAAAGTAAGCTGAGAGACTAATCCATTACATTATAATAATTGAAAAACACTTAAAACCACAGTTTTGCCGGTGCAAGATGAAAGACTGAGAGGCTTTACAAACAAAATGATGTATGATTCATAAATTTAACAATATGTATTAGGTATGAACTGACATGACCCAACACTATATTGATGCACCACTGGATGTCTTGGCACCGTTGATTTTTATTACCCTGTACATAAAGCATACACTCAGTCCCAAACACTGAGAGCCAGATTAAAGGCTTTTTGATGAAGCAGCTGTAGTGCTCCAAAAAAGCCATAGGAGGCTCAGCTAAAAGCCTAGTGTCTGGCATGCGTACTTTGGGCAGCCGGTGAGACCCCACTGCAAGGCTCTCAGACTCAGTAAGGCTTAATGGTGATGGGTGCAAAAGCTTTTCCAGCTATAAAAGCAAAAGGAGAAAAATGACATGTGACATCACTGCAGCCAGGCAAAAACAAAGTCGGCTTCACACATCAAAGTGCCTCCCGGGTAATTTATCACAGTCAGAGAGGGAAAGAGGTAGGGGGCAGCAGGGTAGTGGTTTGAAGTACCCTGACCAATTCAAACAATTATGATTTGAAAGGTACATAGAGGGCAGAGGGAGATGTTGATGGATTGAAGCAAACTAACGTCTTCTAAGGACGACATAATTACATGTTCTTAAATTCACTCTTACAATACTATGTGAGCAGAAATACTTTTTCACATGCTTAAAGAAAGAAATATTTTGGGGAATACACTAATCATTTTGGATAGATTTTAATTTTTGTATCTCTTTGCATGCAGTAGCATTTGGTATAGCCTAGCATAATAGCTAACATGTCTCCTATGCTAGATATTTAGCTTAACAGAGTCTTAACTCCGAAGCTGCCAAACAAATTGTAGCCTGTACAGTACTGTAGTCTACTTGAACTTGTGATTTAAATTAAAGGACCCAACTATAAACCATAAAGCATCTAAGGTTCAGCAACAAAGCTAACATGAGAAGCTAATCAATCCCAGTATATGATGCCTACAGTGTCCTGAAAAGAGGTCTAATCAGGCAACATAAGTGAACACATGTGTGAGTAGGACATGTCTTTGTGGCTGTAACAGAAAGGGGAAAGCTAACTATGCTAGACTTTGGGAAAGCTAACTATGCCAGACTGAAAAGACTGACCGAAAATGTTAGTTACTTGGTAAACTTAGTTACGGCAACAACTGCACGAAGCACCTCAGGTGTCCTCTCTCGTTTGGAAACGTTCTAAGCTAACTGGAGAAAAAAAATGAACTATGATTTGTTGATGTATTGTTTGATATTTATAAGTAAAAAATAATTCAGTTATGGAGCTGTTGAAAGCACTTTCTTTTTCACCCTTGAGAAAATAAGCTAGCGGCTTTTTTGGCTGCCAGTACTAAGCTAGGTTAAATACTTAAATTCAAACTTTTTCGACTTCCGGTGGAATGTCGAAGTCTGTCGCACTGTCGAATACTGTTTCCCTTCTGTTCAAATGAAAGCGCCTCCTTTGTGGTTAGGTTAAAGTAGCAGAAACCCATTTTGACGTTTTAGTCTGTTTAGTAATAATAACGCAGAACATGGTAGCATAATATTAGTTTGAGATTAATGACTGTTTGTAGTTTAATCCTGTAGATATAACACCACACTTTACAAGAATTTACAGCTTAATTTAAAGTGCTTTGATGAATGCTTATTTAATATATCTAATATTTTCATGTTTTCTCTCTTTTTTTGCTTCTGCAGGGCCTATATGAGTGTAAAAGAGCTAAAGGAGGCCCTACACCTGAGCGGCACTGACAACCTCAATGTATTCTTTGCCAGCAACTCAGTGCGTGAAGAGCTGGCAGGAGCTGCAACCTGGCCATGGGCAAAAGAGTCTCTAACCCACCAAGGTGAGTAATATGACATCAAAATACTGTTCAATATCTGTCATATCTTAAAATTCCTTGCTTTTGTCTTTATTAACATTCAAATTGTCCTGTTGTATTATGTTTGCAACTTGTTCTGCCCTTTTCTCCTCTACTGGATTTGACACAGTTTCCGTCTTGCTTTTATTCAGCTTCTCTTTCCCTGCCTATTACTCTTCATATCCATCCCTTGATCTTTTCCCATACCCTCCATTCTTTGTTGCCTGGTTTAGCGATTTCAAAAACGAAATGGGGAGATCAATTGGGGCTGGCTGAGATTTTCCCGGCACATTGCCTTTTTCCTCCTCCAATTATTAAGTCCTTTCCACTGGAAAAGGCTAATCAACCCAAACAACAACCAAACAAACAAACATCAGTGTGGGCTAGTTAAGTTTTCTTTTGGGAGTGTTTTTCCATATTCAAAACCTGTCAAAAGGGATAGAGGGTGTCCTATGCTGTACATAATGTAATGCCCCTGAGGCACATTTGTGATAGTGGCCTATATATATATAAAATGGACTTGACTAGCATTGGCTCTGTATTATTGTTGCCACCCATGCCCACTTGCCAGCTGTTCTTCATTTATTTTTGAACTTTGTTTCCTGCTTGTGCAAGCACAAAGCAGTGAGTTGATTCAAAAGTAAGAGACACATGGGTAGGATGTACCTCCAGATGAAGTATTTATCACATTAAGAAAGTCTTTCACTGGAAAAAATTATATGATCCTGTAACAAACTGTGAAATGCTTCCACTTTAAGCATTTTCAACACCTTGCGAATCCCTGCATCCTTAACAAGTACAGCTGTTATATGGCAAATTGGATCCATATTAACTGGCTGTCAAGTATAATAGTAAATGCATACCGAGTATGTGAATTGTAAGTTAAATAAATAGCATAGCTTTCACTTTATTATTACCCAATACAATAATACATGTTGTGTAGATAAATGGGCTTGGATAGCTATTTATTTTAATAGAGATACTTTGATGATACCAGCTTAGACCCTCCAGAAAAACGCGGGCTAAAATCCTTGATTATGCGATTAAACATGTGGGGTTTTTATGTGATTTTATGTGGTGAAATTGCGGGAAGTTGCGACATATGCGGAAAGTTGCGAAAAAGAATAGATTTTTTTTTTTGATATTGGGCTGTCTTATTTATTCTCTCTCAGACACAACCTGCAACTAACGTTAAACCCCTTTCCTATTCAATTAAACACATTCAATGTTTATTTATTGTAAAAGCAATTGGGCTATTTTAATCACACTCTCTCTCTCTCTCTCTCACACACACACACACACACACACACACACACACACACACACACACACACACACACACACACACACACACACACACACACACACACACACACACACACACTTCTCCCCCTCATTCTGTTTTCATTTACTCGTTCGTTATCTGACCAGCTTCAATCTTGTAGGCTACTCACTTCGTTTCTTGTAGCCCTCGAAAGGGTTTTGGAGGTTGATGCCTCGGTGAACGTGAGTTGTTTGGCTTTCTTGTCCGCAGCAGCAGAAAGCATTTTCGAATGTTTGAATGAATCAAAGTGGGTCGTCACCGTCGATTTTCTCTTATGCTCCAACACACAGTTGCACGGGGTGCAGAATAGTTTCCCCCCACTTTCGTGAAAGACATCGGGGTACTGCTTTGCCCGGTCTTTAGCAGAAATGTTCGTCGGTAAATGAGATGGATCAGATTTTTTCATTTTGGTGTTTTCTCTCTCGTGTGAGTTTCACACGTTCACTCTACGGTGTTGTTTACCTTCTGTGATGCTCGAGCTGATGACGTCGCGTCATCATCATCACTACTTCACGTCAAGACGAGTTAACTTTTTTTTCCCTCAATTTTGTGTGGAAAAATGCGGGGATTATGCGGCCTTTTGATAAATATGCGGCCTTTTTAAAATCTGCGCCATTTTGCTGATTATGCGGTAAATTCTGCGATCGCAGAATCGCGTTTTTCTGGAGGGTCCCAGTAGTACAGTAGTAGAGTAGATGTTATATTTTCAAAATATACAGTTTGAGTCCTGATACTGAATGTGTCCCACAAGACATTTGGCACAGTTGCCCAGCATCTGTCCCTGTTTAAAACCAAGTTACTGGATGACAAGTCATCTCCGGATGCCCTGTTGTGTAGTCTCTTCGTATTTAATGTCTTCATTGTTCAACGTCTTCACTGAACACTCTGTTCCTAATCATAATCCCAATAACTGTCATGTCTGCTCTTGATTCTTCGATTATCATCATTCTTAGGAAACTTGTTTTTGCCTACAGAATGGAGTTATTCTTTCATTTAATAATGCAAATTAGCACAAAACAAGTTTGTTGTTTTGAGCTGTCCACTTCCAATTCAGCCTCTCGTGTCTGTTGACCAATTAGAGGCTGCATGGCTGCTCTGATCTCAAACTCATTGCACAATGGAATAACATTAGATACATAAATGACTGTATTTGTAATTTAGAATGAAGCCTACCTTGTGGACTCCATAAAGCAGCAAAGTTCACAAATCCTGTTACCACATCAACACCAAAACATTTACTTAGTACCACACTTTATTGAAATTGGTTAACAGAATTTGAGCAGAATCCAAGTCATTTTGATCTGTATACTCTATGTATCCAGCCTTCCCACCTACCATTTACACTGCTTTAGCTGTGAGTCATTCACTACCTCTTAACAAAACTCCTTAAATGGTAATGAACTTATAAAGCATATACATATAAATGTATCTCAAACCAACTCATGCATTCAAGTAGTTGGTAACATTGGTAACAATTTTGTATATTCAATGTTTTCAATTGTATGCACCTTTCTCGGTTGTTTTACAGTGATTTCGTTTTTATGATTTTTCCCCCAATCACATCTTTAGTGGCTGTGGAATTTCGTTGTATATTTTGGTCATGAAACTATATCTGTATTCTAAAGAGAGCGTAGTGAGGTGTCAGTTATTAGCGAAATGAGGAAAAATGGTGAATACAAGGTTTCTGCACTGCAGGGTATTCCTCTATATTCAAAGCTGGCAAAACTGGCGCGCATCCAGCTGTAGCCACCTTACCGTATCCTGTTTCCTGTTTTTGGTTTAGAGTAGTAAAGTTTTACTTTATTCCTAATTGGTTTTAAATATCACAGTGCTTAGTCGTTTTACTATGGAGGTCTGTTTCTCTTTTGGAAATTCCGTAGCAGAGCGTAAAACACGAGTTAAATAGCTTCACAGCTCTAGATTTTCACAGCAATAACACATTTGCTTGCGATCAGTTGTTTTGTTGGGTGCTTCTGAAATCTCATTAAAAAACAATCGTAAACGGTTAGTGGATCTGAACATGGTTTAGTGTTTTTAGACATACAACAGTAACCATACCAGGGGATTTCCTCCTATTGATTGTCGTGCCAAAGGGCACTGAAACAGTTCAATTCAATTAAAAACCTTCATTTATCCAGGTGAAATCCCATTGAGATCAATGATCTCTTTTTCAAGGGAGACCTGCAGCAGTAGGCTCCACATGAAGACATAAAAACATAAACAACAGAACAACAAAAGGACATCATACAGTAACATTTACAGGGATTACAATTTACATATCTATCCACATGTACAGGTACCAACAGCATCTGATTGTGTAGCATCCAACCAAGCTATAAAAACATGTAGTGGTACCAGATTGGTAATTTTCCAATTATTTTCCAAGTTAGTGGAGCTGCACATCTAAAAGCTTTCTTCCCTAAGACAGTCCTAGCACTTGGCACATTTAATAGAACCACAGCATGCGATCTCAGGCAATAACTACTTTAAATTTGCCGAGAGATCAGGGAGCAGATATAAGATGGTAGTTTATCCAACATGGCTTTGTTCACCTGCTGAAGGACAATTTTCCAAATCATTACATCCCATCAACGTGGAGGAATAAGGGGTTACAGTCTTGAATGGCAGTTTTAGATTTGCAACTTGTGAATGCTTGCAAAACTTCACTAACATGTCACCAGAGATATATTTATAACTCTTATGAGTCAGAGACCAACATCAGCTTGTAAGACAAACAGTTCAAGATATAATTGTATTATGACACACACTTTAAATATCATCTTCTGTCCTCAGGTGGGATGGTTCTGAGCCCGTCCTACTTTGGTACCATGGGCCACCAGAACACCATGATTCATGAGATGGGCCACATACTTGGACTTTACCATGTTTTCAAGGGGGTGAGCGAGCGGGACTCTTGTGATGACCCATGTCAGGTAGGACTGATAAATGTTCTCCTCTTGTTCATAATTCTGTATCATACAGTTTATATATAAATTATTTTCTGGGAATGTGTCCTTCTTCAGTCGTTGTAATATTTATTCTCAGAAAAACAATAAATAAATGTTAAAACAATGAATGCAAAAAAGAACAAATAAGTAGTGTAGTAAAATGGGTTAAATTAAGCAAACTAGATTATAGGTTTGCCGTTCTCTTTTAGGCTTAGACATGCCTCCTTGGATAGGGCTTTTCACTCTCCTGTGATCATTTGCTTGTATTTCTGTCTTATGCCCTTGCAGGAGACCACCCCATCCATGGAGACAGGAGATCTGTGTGCTGACACTGCACCAACACCCAAATCAAAAGCCTGCCATGATCCCGGAACCGTCAATGATTCCTGCGGAGTCACCATGTACCACAACACACCTTATAGCAACTACATGAGTTACACAGGTACAGTGATGAAAACATCTCTCCTTACTTGTAGCTATGCTTTTAGACATGTTGAAATAACCAATGACCCGGAGAACAAGTTATTTACATTACATGAAGAATGTACACTGTAGATAGAGGACATGGTATAGACATCATGTATACAGTAACATCCATGCATAATTAGAACCAGGGCTTTTTCTATTCAAGACAAAAGGAGAACAAACACATGGTTCTTTGTTACTACAGTCTGTCATAAGTCTTCTAATGGAAAAGTTATGTACCTCTTGACATTTGAATGACACAGCCACACAAGCAGGAAGTACAAGTACTGTGTAAACTACATTTCGTTTTTAAATGGGTTTTGCAAGGACTAAGTTGGCTAATTGTGCTTGCTTTATACGATAATAAGAGCAACATTGATATTTACAGTCATTATTTTGCTTGTGATTTCACCGAGAACCTATTTTCTTCAATATCTTCCAGTAAGCTAAATATTTGAGTGATTAGAAATTAGGTTAAATGGAGGTTAGTGTTTAAAATGATAAACACTGATTTTTTTTATTTCACCACATCAGATGACAACTGCACCAACCATTTCACCCCCAACCAAGTGGCCCGAATGCACTGTTATCTGGATTTGGTCTACCAGAAGTGGCTAATGGACCAGCAGCCGTCTCCCATCCCTCTGGCCCCCATAGTGACGGACCAGAGTCCAGATTCTGTCTCCATCTATTGGCTGCCACCTTTGAGGGGAATGCTTTACCAGAGGTACTGTACGAGTATGACTGCATGGGTTCTTAAAGGTCCCATGTCATGCTTTTCCGGTTATTACCCGTCCCCTTGTGTGTTATGAAGGTTTTTCTGCATGTAAACAGTCTGCAAAGTCACAAACCCTCAAAGTACACCCTCTAACACAGAAAATACCTGTCTATGCTGCCCCAGAACGCCTCGTTGGAGATTTCTCTTTTTCTTCCTGGGTACAGTGACGTGACCATACCCAAATGGACCCATTGGACCAATCCGCGGAGCTCCTCACACACACACACACACACACACACACACACACACACACACACACTCTCTCAGCGGCGAAACTGTGACACACGCGGGGGGGTGCTAGTGGAGCCTCGCAGCGGCGAAATTGTGGCACGCTTACACTGTAAGTGCGCCGCGTTTGACACACACACACACACAACACACACACACACACACACACACACACACACACACAGACACACACACACACTCTCAGCGGCGAAACTGTGACACACGCGGGGGCTGTGCTTAGTGGAGCCTCGCAGCGCGAAATTGTGGCACGCTTACACTCTTAAGTGCGCCGCGTTTGGGTGGGGGGGGGGGGTGCGGGTGCTAGTGCAGCCCCCTCAGCACCCCCGCCTTCCCGCGTCCATTCGTGATGTCTCGCTGTCCCGCAGATCCCACGGAGCAAGCAGGGAATGAACCCAGCTCACACTGTCCGCTCCTCGCAGCAGCGAGCCTCGCAACGTCCCGCCAACACGGCACACAGACCCCACGTAGCATTCTCATCTGTTTGTCCGTACTGGTGTCATTTCTGGTTGCTAACGCCATTGTAACACATAATCACTGATGTTCAGCTGTAACGGTGGTGGACTCATCAGAACAGAGTGGGCGAGCTGACCAATCAGAGCACAGTGGCCTCATAAGGAGGGGGGAGGGGGCAGGAGCTCCAACAAGCCGTTTACACATACTATATAGAGATGCTGTATGAGAAATCAATGTGTATACCTCAACAATGGAATTATGACCAGTACAAATGGCCATGTCATGGGACCTTTAAGCACAAAGTGTAAAAATACACAATTTTGTATTTATATTGAATCCATCTGGAGTAAAACAAAAAAAGAGGCAAGTTGGTCCAACATTATTATAGGTCTGTTCTTAAAAAAAAAACATGATATAATATCGCACGCAACTCTTTTTTCATTTGACCCAGCTCCTCATTCCATGTGTCTGGAATCAACTGCGGAGACTGTGAGAAAGACGGCGTTTTGCACCAATATGCCTCGGAGGCTACATCACCTCGCATCTGTGACACGTCAGGCTACTGGACCCCCGAGGAAGCAGTCGGTCAGTAAAAAAAACAAAAACTGTGTGTTTGTTAAAAAAAATGGTGAATGTATCGGGACTCATTTCCCGTGTGGAGGAGCCAGGTTTGAATCTGGCCTGGAACCATATACACATATCAACACTGTCATCTCCAATAAAGGCTAATCCGGCCCAAAAAAATAGGGTGAATATTTATATCTTTAACCAACAAAAAAAAAAGAATAAAGTTCAGAATTGTGATATTTTTTTCTTATTGCAACATCCATACAGGCTGCATGTGAAGCCACAGCTACATATCAACACTGAGAGTGGAGGGTGTTTCTTTAGTAATCATTTACTCAATCATAGATTATTTGTATGTGCTTCGCCTGATAAACTCTTCCCGATCAATACTTTTTTGTAGTGGTGGTTTCATGTTTGAGTCTGTGTCGTTGATTTCTGCTTCTGTCTCTTGTTTCCACAAAGCAGATCAACCCCCCCCATCCAACCCCCCCCCCCCTCCACACACACATACACACATCTCTGCCCTGTAAATTTCAGGTGCGTGCAAGGCTAATGGCTCCTGGAAGAGGAAAAAGCAGAAAATCATTAAATGATAATTGCACTCTGCTACAGACCTCTCTCTGTCTCTGTCTTATTTTAGCCAAAGCGAGAACAAGGATTATTAACCAACGTCTACTCTGGGTAACGTTTGGGTGCTGTTCAGACATTAAGCCTCCGTCATAAACAAATAAGCCAAAAGAGTTGTATCTCGCAGCACTGCACTTTGAAACATTATGCTTGGTGTAAGCACATGGTCCTTGTTATTCCAATCATAATCTCTGCAGAAGCCCGGTTTGCTTTGGCATGTAGGGTGAGGGGAAAAGAGACAAGAAAAAAAAAAGGACCAAAAGGAAGCAAACAATAACAAAAAAGAGAAAGAAAGAGATATACAGTAAGAGAGAAAGAAATACCTCGCGAACACAATAACACTCCCTTTCTCTTCCGTGGAAACTCGACCCAAATATGTGGAAATCCTCTGCAGGAATTTATGCTTTGAAAACAAGCGGCGAGGAGAAACGGGGGGGATTACGGCTCCCTCTCTTTCGCTGCGGGATCATAATGATGATAAAGAGTCAATTACAGTCTTACTCTAAACAGTGGTATGCACACAGCTGAGGAGACAGCCAGTCTGCTGGCTTCCTTTTCACTTTTTCCCACTTGATGCGTGGGGGTCACTTTGTCAGCCAACGGAGATGGGTAGACAAAGTGAGAGGGGAAATTGGACAAATTCAAAGCGGATATCATGGCTGGCAAGACAACAACACAAGTATAATGGCAACAAACTGTTGGCTAGAATTGTTGACATTGTCTTTTTACATTTCCTGAAAATGTTGCCTTTGCCACAATCTAGACTTGTTCGCGTTTTCAGCCCGTTGAGAAGGATTACAGTAGTTTATGTGCTGAATCTAGTAGCTTATTACTCAAAACGCGAGGTGCAGCACAATGTTCAGTGAATTTCAATTTGCTGGGGGTAAAGACAGGGATGAAAGGTAGGTCTTCAACGTCTCTGCCTGTATAGGGGTAATGAAAATCTAATATCACAATTCTAAGCCTACTGTTAGAAGACGATGGAAGTCATGGACATATAAAGAGTATAGCGCATGAGGTGGCAACTTGTTAATTGCTTTAAAAAGTTGCTCCGTGGCACATCAAGCCCCAACGTTTGACTACAGAGTATAAAATTAAACGAAAACTCCCGCAAAGTATAACATTAAATGAAAACCTTGGCGCTCAATGTGGCCCAGAGACAAATCACTTGCGTTTCCTTTTACCGCGCCTCCCAGCTGCTCAGACTCCATTTATTCACATGAGCAGAGGTGGGAAAACAAGTCTGGATTTGGCTATTAGTGCAAGTTACAACTTTTAGGACGTAAGGATTTATTTAAGAAGGGCTATAAGGCAAGACATCGTTTTCCCAATGTAAGTCTATGGGACAGTATTTTTGGGCCAGTACTGGTGCATTTTAAGGCTGTTTTTAACTGGCTGTCTTTGTCTTTCTGTCAGTTTAGCGATCTAGTGTTATTTCTACAGATGGCTAATCACAGTGGTTGTGAAATGTCTAACACCTCAGTAACATCCTGATTTTATTGGGCTCTTTGGGGCAGAGCTGAAAATAACGTAAATTAACGTAATTTGATGCCATTGTGCTAATCACTAACACTGTAACCATTAACACGTCATTTTGCCTTGCGTCATGGTGTTAGTACTAGGTTTTTTTCATGTTTGAAATAAGGAAGAATGACTCTTTCTTTCTTAACTGGAACTTAAACTCTCTCTCCCTTGTTACAAATGAGAATACGTGTGCTGGTAAAAGCATTGCTCTGGTATTTGTTAAATCAGACCCTACAAGGCAAGGTTATTGCGTGGACCAAATAATTGACAGTTTTTTTCTGTACATGATTACCAATACGTACGTCTGTGCAATGTCATTAAACCCCAGGCCCGCCCGATGTGGAGCAGCCCTGTGACCCCAGCCTCCAGGCCTGGAGTCCTGAGCTCAGCCTTTATGACACAAATGTGACCTCGCCGTGTCCCGACACTGAGGGCTGCACCCTCACACTACGGTTCCTCCACCTAATCGTCCCACACGCACTCACCCTTTGGGTCACCTACATTTCATCAAGTAAGTGTCACTCTGTAACTCCTAAGGATTAAGACTTTCCTAAGTGATAATGCTTATAGTTAGGGCTGGCTCAGGCTTGCCTAGAACCAGCCTTTAGTTGTACTTCCTCAGTAGTTTTCTTCGTCAGTATTAAATGTTACATCTGGATCATGAATCGTCCTTAATCGTCCTTTTGGGCAGCACTGGGAAGCTTTTGGCAACCTCCTGGATCATTCATTTATTTATACATTCACATTATTATTTTAGCTATTTGGATTGTCTTTGTTGTAATGTAATGTAATGCATGTTTTTCATCTGAACAGACTGTAAATCCCCTTGAAATAAATGTGAACTTGTGATATTGGCAATCCAAACTAAATTGGATTCGGATTTTATATCTACAGCATGGTACCTGAGGCCATGCCGGACATTTGTTTTTGGCCAGTCAGAATGATCTAAGAAAGTTGTTCATTGTGCATAGATATTCAACCATGTGAGAAATACATTTTCTATTGTCTGTGAATACATAAGTAAAACCCAGATATTCTGGCCTCCAGTTAAAACCCAATCCGAGATTGACAATCAAGTTCAAAATGCCAGAAATAACAGCTGACATACGTCTGTAGCTCATATATCTGTATTTCCTTGTCACAGATAACCCAGCTATAGCCAACATAGAGCTGATAACAGACACGGGGAAAAGCATCAATCTCGGACCGCAGCACGTCTTTTGCGACATGCCCCTCACGTTGCGCCTCGACACCAACAATGCTGCCGTTGCCACTATAAAACTCTGCACCTTCGACGAGAAGATGGAGATCGACGCCGCCATGTTGTCTTCAGGCCCCGGCAGCCCTCTGTGCGCCGGCTGCCAACCCCTGGTTTACAGGATTCAGCGGCAGCCGCCCTTCGCCAGCAAGTCCCCCCCGCCTCAGACACAGCAGACGTTCACCGACAGGTAGGTTCCAACGTTGACAGGTGTACTTCGAGTAAAAATCATTAATTGATTTGCTTTTACTGCAGTTAAGTCTACCTAAGGTCACTCACATTGTAATACCAGCTGGAAAATTATCTAAACGGGTGGGAGTGATCGCAATATGTCATGGGAATTGACAGTTGGGTTTAAAATACACTTGAATACCGAGGACTGCCTCTGAGGCAAGTTCCCAAATCGTTTTTTTTTTACGTGTAAACTAATATTTATAACATAATGTTTTTGCCAATCACCATTGCTGCGTACACTAACACACGTAGACACACCTACACAAATAAAGACACGCTGCCTTGTCAGACATCAGCAGCCTCAGAGGAAAATAACGTTTTTTTAGGGGCAACTTGGAGTTTAAGTTTCAGCAGCGTACCTCTTCGACTGGGTCCTCCGATCTGCTAATCCACAGTTATCTGTCTTTCAAAAGTGTTTGGGTCTGTTTCTGTTTGAAAAGCTCAGAACACAAATGATTCCAACGTGTGGATGTCGAGCTGTGGCTACTGATCCAAAATTTGTTTCAACAAGCATATACTCAATCAAAAGCATGCTGAGGTTTCAGGACCAAGTTGAAAACGTTTGTACAGTGTCCTGTGGGTTGTCCAAATGCAACCAGAATCCAAATGTAAAGCCCCAAGCCAGGATTTTCTTTCAAATTCTAACCAAAGAGTTTCAAGTTTATGACAGTTGTGTCACTTGATTGCAGATCATCTGGGGCTGATTTCAAAAGTTTCAAATGGCACTGATTGTTTCTAAGAAGCTGTTGCTATTTTGCAGAGCAAGGCAGACGTTGGAGGTGGATGCAGCCTCAACAACAGTTTATTTTTCAGGGAACACATCTCCTGTGTTACACAAGCTGTGTCTAAGTGCAAAAAGATGTAAGAACCTGTGGGATTTGAGTTATGTGGGACTGAGGAGGGCAGAGAGGGGTTGATGTTAGGAGAAGAGAGAGTCTGGGAGCAATGAGTTTAGAAAATAAGGTAGCGCGAATAAGGGAGGGTGGGATGATAAAAAAGAAAGTTGGGCGAGACATATAATATTGTAGTTTATACCAGAAAGTCTAAATAAAGATACAGACCCATACAAACACTATTTATCTGCTAGAGTGTCGCATGAATGTCGGGTGAACACTCGAATGCAACGCTAATATCGCAACTCTCTATAGCTCTGTCTTTTCATTATTATTCTGACTCATTGTAACAACAGTGATATGATTGCCTTTACAGGATAGTCATTCCCAAAGTGTGTGCCATTATTAACACTTGCAAATAAATTCTCGCCCTTCTGTCTTACAACAAGCCTGCCAGCAAAAGTGGTCGTTTATAGAGACCGTATAAAATAAAAAACCTTTTCAGACAATTACATATTTGTTGTTATACTTTAAACAACGGCTATCGAGTGTTTAATCTAATGATCATATGCTGCTGTGCAGTTTAAACACATTTTTTAACATATCTACATTTTATTGGACATTTCCTATGACGTCATTAAAAAAAGAAAAAAAAGAATTGCCAATGATTTTTGTTAATTAAGTTTACTAGTTCAATAGGGAATTAGGCATGTAGGTAGGAAGTGCAGAGTGCAACAAGGGAAAGGGGAAAGGATGACCTAAACCTCGCCATAATTATCATAAAGAGGTCCCTGAGAGCAGCGAGGAGGAATAAGGTTGCAGGATATAGCCCATTATAGATGGATAGGGGTGGAAGGTGTTTTTCAAGCTTCCTTCTCTGATCCATAATTAATAAAGGACATTTCTTTGGAAATAGACCAGACCTCAGGTACTGAATAATTTCTTATTCTCCTGTTTACATTTTAACACTAGACGACGTAGGAGATCTATGCTGGAAGAAATAGGGAGGATTCTCTTTTTATAGACACAGCCAACAAACATATCAATAGTCCAGACACTGCAGCCAAAGTATCATAAAACACACTTCCTGCCCGGGGGCTTTAAGGTCATGGGATACAAGGTTACACACTGAAAACTTGCAGAATCTATCAGATTAATGCAGAATCGATTTTTTTAGAGGGGACTGGGACACACAGCAAATACAATGTTCTCTCTCTACATAGCACAAAGTAAGAGAACACAAAATAATTAGATCCTGATGCACTACATTGGCACCAATTAGTTCTTACTTACGTTGTTTGTGAATGAGTCATTGTATCGATCAAGCCTGTGAAGATTATGTTCTTTTGAGGACCAATACAAACCTTGCCTAATACTCCTCGAAAGAACATAACAAACTCTGGAATTCTGTTTTATAATTTTAGAGTGCCAATATTTTTGTACAATTTCAAGGAATCTCAAAACCATTTGCTTTCCTCTCTTATCTTGCTTTCCTTTCTCTTCTCCTCTTCCTCCCCTACCCACTTTTCTTTTCTCTTTTCTTCTTTCTTTCTTTCTTTATATCTATCCACTCCCTTTTTCTTTCCTCCCCTCCTCTTATCTCATGTCTTATCTTCTCATCAATTCATCCTCTTTTCTCCTCTCCCGTCTCTTCTCCTCTCTAATATTCTTCTGTCTTCCTCCTCTCCTCTCCTCTCTAGCTCTGTAAGGCAGGGAGTCAGGTACCACTACACAATCCAAGTGGAAGCAGAAGTACTCCTCAGCGACCCGTCCCCATCTCTCCTCTACACCCACGGGCAATCCTACTGTGGAGACGGCCTCATCCAGGGGTTTGTGCACTTGATGTTAACATGACCAATTACACATTGTAAATGTACATTGCATGTGAAATTAAGGTCTTGATAATGATAGTGATGTTAATGATCATTTTCTCATTGTAGGACAGAAGATTGTGACGACACTAATCTTCTGGATGGGGACGGTTGCTCTAAGAAATGCCACAAGGAGATTGGCTTCAACTGTCATGGTGAGTGAGTGGGTTTTCAAACACACATACCGTTTTAAACCAAAAGAGCAACACTTTTATCTGTCTTTCATCAAACACACCAACCCACTTCAATGTGGAACATGAACACCATATAAACGTTTAGTGTGAGAAATCTTTCATTTGTGCATGCAGCAGTAATAACAAAAATATTCAAGCCAATCAAATGTTATTTACCAGACATAAAAGCTCCTGGCTTGAATTGATTTCACAAACCATTAATGTAACATCACCGCATCATAAGAGGAAACAGATGAGTGGAGGGATAACAAGATTTTGCTTTGCTAAGTCTTGCTTAGAAATCTGAAACATTTTGACATTAGGCTGGCAGAGAAACACCAGAAAAACATTTTTCAGCTGTAACCGTTCAGTTTCAAAACACATGTCAGGCATGTTTCCTTTTATTAAATAAGTTCTGGTCTTAATCAGATTTCAAGCAATCAATACCTGCTTAGGAACACTAATGAATAAAGTGTATTGATGTGATTGTGTCACAAATTATGTATTGATTTTGAATTAGACCATTTATTTCCGACATTGCCATTGTTTTCATTTTATTTGATATTTATTAACGGCGTGTAATTGGTTATACCAGGTTTTGAAAATGGGGGCCACCTTGTAGTTCTGATCGCTTGAATCAAATAGTGCAGGGTTCATTTTTCCTCATCTTTAAAAAAAAATGTTGTCGTTTTCTATAAACCCAACAACAAAGCTTAGAACTAGGACACAGCTCCTGTTCTACTTTTTAAACCAGGTCCACTTGGTAAGGTTTAGGCAAGAATGCATGATTTGTTCTTAGCCCAAAGATTTATGGTTAAGATAAGAAAGCTTAAGTAACAGGTGTGTTTGTGGCTCTGTGAGTACTGTGGCTGACACAAGATAACTTGATGTGTGTTTAGGATTAAAGAGCATCTTGCAGGTTTTTTTTTTTCTACATTTATGCTTAAACTTGCTTGAAAATTACAATTAAAAAAGTGAATGTAGGATTTGATATGTTTTACGAGACATAAGGGCAGGAATTCAGAGGGAAAGGAGCAATTTTGAGCTCGGCTCTTAAAAACGGCTTTTTTTTAAGGTCATACGTCAAACGCGTCATATTACATAACAAAGGGGAAACATCTCCGCTCTCTGACCGTGGGTAGAGTTAGTAGTTGCGTTGAGTTGAGCGGTTGTGTTTTAGTGAGCTGGTATTTTTTGGTAGTTTTACATTGTATTTCACCATTTGTAATCATGGTGCA